GGTACAAGCTGTGAGAATGATACAAAGTCCTATTTATTTGATAACGTGGAGGAATCCAACCTTGAATTCAAATCACAGCCCGTAGATGGAAAGTAAGTGCGCAGCTTTACAGCAGGTGCTTGTGGTATTTCCCTGTCAAGTATGTTCTCGAGGCAACCCGGGCACACAGGAAGAGATGGAAGAGCACAGTTTAAATGCTGCAGGCGGCTCGTCACAGTTGCATCCTCCTGACCAGTACACACCTGGCCACAGAGCTTTATGTCTGCCTTTCTGTTGTTGGTGAGGTCACAGGTATGAGGCTCTTCTTGACGGAAGAGTCTGGTGCAAATTTGGGAAGGAGTGTGGGTGGGCAGGACTTCTAGCCAGACGATCTTGTGGCAGGGCGAAAAAGGGCCCTGAAAGATGTCTGGTCCGAAAAATATTCTCTGGATCTTGTAAATAGGACTTTATTTGGTAAAAGGACCTTTGCAGACGTGTTTAATGATCTTGACATGGGGAGACCTCTGGATTATACAGGAGACTACAGCTGCTCCCAGTGCTATCCTTGTAAGAGAGGGACAAGGATAAGTGACACACTGAAGGAGTCAGTGTGAAGGAGGAAGAGGACTGGAAGGATGCAGGGGTGACAGCAACCACTGCACACCAGAAGAGAGCAGGTGCAATTCTCCCTAGAGCCTTCCATGGAGCATGGCCCTGCTGATACCTAGTGAAACTGATTTTATACGTCTTGCTTCCAAAATCAGTATAGTGGCCTCATTTAGTTTTCTGGCACCTGAGTTCTTTCCCCCCTTGCTCTTCACCTGTTAGGACAGCCATCACTGGTTACCCTACCAATTCAGCACTGCCATCCTAAACCTTTCAACTACTCAAACCTTTACCAAAGGGCTCCTGAGTCTGCTTCGGTTGACAGGCATTTTCTCAATCATGATTGGGGATTAAATAAGTTAATCATTGTAAAGCCCTCAAAACAGTGCCTGGCACAAAATAAACAGTACATGTAAATATTTATCAGAGAGGAATAAATAAGTAGAATCTTATTTTGGGCACTGAAGAACTAGCTTTGGTAACTTTCCTCTTGGCGCTTCAGAAACCAGAGAATGTTTTAGACTTAGTCTTGATTTATGACCTTTCCCTTCAGAGTATGTTCCCCATTTTACAATGAAAGGTCATGGTTGGATGCCAGAAAGGCACATTACCACTTTTGAAGGTCACAGGTATTCTGCTGAAGAAAGAATACAGCAAACTGCTTACTTCCTTCTACAGCTTCTTCTCTGGAAGACAGACTAATATTTAGATCTGGTTCTGGTAACTGGGCTCCCCATTTACTTAAAACCTTTTTTTAAACCTATTCCCGGTGCTATACCTAGGGAGACTAAGTTATTTTCTTCCCCAATAACAGCAGACCCCAGAGATCTGTCAGTAAACTAGGAACAGAGGTAAACAGCAGGGACCTTTTTGCTAAAGTAGGAAGACATCAAGATGGACCTTGTTCTGTGACCTTGAGAAAAATCCCTTAATCACTCTAAGATTAGGATTTTAAAAATGTCTTTAATATTTGATTAATGCTGTCTTGTAAATATCTAAAAATATCCTTTCTTTGGCTCATATTTACACCATGATGTTTTCTTCCCAATTTGGTTCAAAGGGCCTCAAACATTGCTAGAAAATCTTGTAACAAAAGACCACTTGTCTTCCATGTTCATGATCAGCACATGGTGCTGTCAGAAACTCTGTACTTCCTCTTCTGGTGCTGGGCCATATCACACACCCAAGAGCCAGCAGTGGGCTCTGAGCAAGCCTGAGATGACTGTGTAAGTGGTTCCAATACAGATTTTCTAGGACAGCTACAGTTCGTGTTTCCTTGGATGAAACTAGGATAACTAAAGGTGACTTGGTTTTTGTATCTTCAAGTGGATTTTCATATAAATACATTTTTTTGTTGTTAGATCACACCTCAATTTTTAGAGGTGGGGCTTGGAAAACAAGATGCCACTCTAAAACACCAAGCACCATCACTGCCTGGCAACTTCCCAGTGTGTCTAATTGGGCAGTTCTGTCTGGTTTCTAGAACAGTATTGTTGTTGGGTAGCTTGCTTCTATAAAAAGTGGTTCACCAACTAAATGTTACTGTATTCAGGCTGCTTGCCTCTTTCTGGAGTTAGTTCCAGGTTTTTGTTTTGAACAAAGAATTGGATGAAATGAGTAAATAGCATGGCAAAGTTTATTTGAGAAAGTAAAAGTGAAGAGTGGGAGAGAAACTGGCTCTGCAGAGCGAATAGAAAAGAGGCTAAGAGCAAAGGTAAAAGTACACACTATGTCTGGAAAACACCACGTTGGCTATCAAAGAAAGTTGACAGCACTAGCTCCTTAGGCTGCCTTTCTTTTATATTGTCCAAATCTCGAGGAAACCCATGACAACTTCCACATCCAGGTCCTGAGAGGCAGGGCTGATCCCACACCTCAGGCTGACATCAAGTCTAGGCCTCCTATTGAAAACCTGCTCCAGTTCTTAAGAAGTCCTTGTGCAGGGCTTTGGGAACTGTTCTAAGTGTCTGGGATCTTGCAGTGAACAAGTCACACCTACTTCTCCAGCCAGCTTTTGCCATGCCATCTCCTATCTCCGGATAGAAAACAAACTTGAAAAAGGCCAAAATGACCTACTATAAAGTTGAGGGGTGGACACATGAATCTCACTATGGTATTCTTTCCACATTCCTTTAAAATGTTTCCTAGAAAATGTTGAAAATCATTGAGTGCTGCCAGCTTGCAGCACGGAGGTGCCCAGGCTTTGGCGTGGGCTAGCTGTGGAGAGGGTAGCTGGCAGCCTCCAGCTCCTCCTGGAGTCCCGCCCTCTCTCCTTACTTCAGGAGGGATGAGATTAATATCTGATGGACAGGCTCCTGTGCACTCCGTGGGTCTGGGCCAGTTTCTACCACACGCTCTACATCCCTTATCTTGCTACTGCTCACTGACACCAAGGACAGGGATCCTAATTTTTATTACCAGACTAGTTTTTTTTTTTGAGACAAGGTCTACTTGGTTCAGGCTGACCTTGAACTATGTAGCTCAGGCTGGCCTCACACTTGCAAGGATCTTCCTGCCTCAACCTGTGAGTGCTATGATTATAGGTGTGTCAAGTATCGCACTATAAATGGCTGAGGTGTTTATCTTCATTTATCTTAATGAAAAGGATTGGGAAACGTGAATCTTTGTTGGGTTTGTTTTCATGATGCTGCGGACAGAACCCAGGACTCTTACATGCTCAGCATGCATTCCACCCCTGGGCTGTACCCTACCCCTAGCACTTGTTTTTAATCAACCTTTTCCTCTTGGTGGTCTGCCTCCCTCTCTCCCAAGCACTGACAGGCTCCATCTGGAGGCCAACAGTCCTTTCTATCCTGCAGCTATTCTGAGCTATTATCCCAGTTGATGTTTTTTTCTAAACTCGGATTCTTCTCTTTGATTATTTGTATTGGTCTCATTACCTTGGGCTCATTCATGTCTTTTCAAACTCCCAGCCTATGCCGTCACCTCTTCATTCTTTGTCCCTGCACGTACTCTGGGACTGGAAGTCTCTGAGCTGCCACCAGGGACTGTGGGAAGCCCTTTCCCTCCTCCCTCCCAAGCCCCCAAGTTAGGCCACGAGTACATTTCCCAGCACTGACCACATGCACTGCAACTCTACTCAAACTTCTGAACCCATCATTGCCCAGTGAATCTCAAAGGGCCGGTTTTTTGGAGACAGTCTCACTATAGTTCAAGCTGGTCTTGGACTCACAATGAGCCTCCTGCCTCAGGCTCCCAAATACTGGGACTGTCTATACCATGCCCAGCAGAGGGGCCTAAGTCTTATTTACCACTGCCAGGCAGGGGCTGACACACAGAATTGTGCTCAGCAAACATCTACAATGAATAAGCAATTGATGAAAGAACAAGTGAAACAGGGAGAAGGGCACGAAAGGTCCTATGATATCTATTTTTTAATAAACACTTTATTGAAGTATATTTCACTCCATACAGTGTTACAGTTTAATGGGTTTTCTTTGTATTGCTTTTTGATTAGCCAATTTAAATTTAACCTTAGTTACTGAATTAAAAATTTACAAAAACTTACTTTATTCTAAAAAACTTTAAAAGTATTTCTAGCCGGGCGTGGTGGCGCACACCTGTAATTCCAGCACACGGGAGGCTGAGGCAGGAGGATCGCTGTGAGTTTGAGACCAGCCTGGGCTACATAGTGAGTTTCAGATCAGTCTCAACTACATAGTGAGACCCTGTCCCCCCACTAAAAAAAAGTATTTCTACTGTAAGAACACAACATTTCATTTGTAGCTAGAGGAAAACCTAAACATTTAAATTTAAAAGATATAAACTTGCCAAAGGAATAAAATTTATATATTTTATTATGTGCTTCCCTGGGGCTGTCTACAATGTACTATTCTTCACTGGATGTATGTATTAATGCCCATGGTCACACAGAGTGTGTGTGTGTGTGTGTGTGTGTGTGTGTGTGTGTGTGTATGTGTAAATGATTTGGCTGTTTCTGGAGTTAGGGGAAGGGATTAGGTTTCCATTCCAAGCCACCGCCTTCTTTTTCAGGAAGCATTCCCAAGTCTTTGTTTCACTTTCCTTACCAGAACAAAGCGCTTGGTTTCTATGACACATCTTCTCTTTCAGATGCTGATGGTCATGCAAAGAGTGGAAAATAAGACCGGATGACAAAGAGGGTCTTCAAAAAGGCATCTTCTGCTGACAGTCAAGTGGGAATGCTCCCCAAGCTGGTCCTGACCATGGGAGACATAGGGACCTGAGGCACAAACTTTCCAAGAACCACACTTTCAGCTAGTTTTTTTTTTTATCTGTTTGACACAGGGTCTTGCTATGTAGTCCACTGGCCTCAAACTCATGGTGAGAGCCAGGGATATAGCTCAGAGGTGCTGCCACCTATCTTACAAGCACACGGCCCTGAGTTCAATCCCCGGTACCAAACAAAAAAACAGCCCCAAACTCGTGATCCTCCTGCCATAGTCTCCCGGGTGTGAGAATTACAGGCACGTGCCACCACGCCTTGGACAGTTTTAATGATACAGGCAAGTATAAAAGACGAGTTAACATAAAGCAGGACAATGGGTTTGAAGTGCTTAACATGAGCTTATTTCCCTAACTAGATTATAATTGACAGCCAACAAGCAGAAGCAGTTAAGGAAGAAAATGAAATGAAATGGCCAGCCTGGATAGTCTAGGATGGTGCTGGGGCCATAGCCACCACACTGTTGCCTAGACAGAGGTAGCTAGAGTACTGGACACGGCACAGCACAGGGTAGGAAGGAACCCTTTCATGGCGAAGGGGCTCCTGGGCATTCTGGAGAGGAGGCAGGTCGTGAGCAGAGGGGAGCAGTGAGGGCCACAGAGCCTTGGAGAAAAGTAAAGGCTGGAAATGCCCAAGGCAGCAGTGAGAAGTGACTGGGGTACTTCTTGAGGATATGACTGTTAACCAGTTTCGAGTGATGGCAGGTAGGGGATTCTATATCCTCAGGCAGGAGGCAGGAGACAGGAGTGTGGGCTGCAGCCTGAGGGAAAGAGGTGAGGGACATCTTGAAGGGAGGCTATCAGCAAAGACTACTTAGGGGACAGCAGTAACACTGAGCTCAGTTTTAGGCCTGCTGACCTCTGGTAGGAGCCCCTGGGTTCCTGCAGGGGCAGTGGACAGGCCAGCAGCCTGGTCAAAGCAGGTGGAGGTCTGAGGTCTGGGAGGGTGTGCACAGCAGGGTACACAGGAGAGTAGCAAGGCCAAGAACAGAGTACCAGCACAGGCAGGACAAAACCACATTGAAGGGGATGGGTGGCTTGTTTTGGCAGAGCATAGGGAGGGTTGGAAGCCTGAGAGCAGCTGGCAACTGGCTTTCCTCTGAGTTTTAGAAATGCAGACTCGGGACACTCTGGGAGGAAGCACAATGTATAGAAAAAAGTGAAGAAATGGAGCAAAGTGCCCAGAATAAAGAGCAAGGTGTGGGCACTGGCCATGGGCAGGGCCCAGTGGAGGGAAAGGATAAGCAGGGCAGGTGTGTCTCTGAAGACCCGAAGAGAGCAAAGTGGCACAAAGGGAGATGGAGGTGATAGGAATATAGTGTGGCACCACAGGAAAGTACAAGTAGCTGGGAGCCACAGTGACTCTGCTGTCCCTGAGGAGGGGCATGGACACAGCATATCCCCCCTGTCCCCACCCTTCTGTGCTGTGATCAACCATAGGATCTTGCATCCTTGCATGGAGGGAGGAGAACCCCAAGGTCGGAAAGAGCCGCAGTGAGGCAGTGAGCACCCCGGTAGGCAGGAGGAGGAGGGGGAGTCACAGGAGGCGGCATGGTAATAAGGAGCACAGACCCTGGTGGGGGGTGGTCCCTACAGTGATGGAGAGCAGCAGCCAGAGGCCCACTGAGGGCCTGTCCCTGGCAGAGGTGCTGCTCCAACAACTTGGGCACTGTAACTATGTGATGGACAGCAAGAAGCTGGTGGGTTTCAAGGGTTTAACAGAACAGCTGAATAGCTGTTTACAGGTTCCAAGTGTGGCTCAAAGAGAGGCAAAGCTGGTCAGAAGCAGAAGAAAGTTAAAGGTCTAGGGTAGTATAGGTAAGGCAGGCAGCAAAAAGGAAGGTTGAAGGGCTGGGGATTTAGCTCAGTGGCACAGTGCCTGCCTCGCAAATGCAAGGTTGCAAGTTCGATCCCTGGTACCAAGGTGGTGGTGGGGGCAAGCAGGGGTGGCGGGAAGAAGGGAGCAGAATTGCTGGAAAGGGTAGGAGATGAATTAGTGGATGAGTGTCAGAGTGAGATTTCATTAGAGGAGGGCTGGTGTGGAAGCGTTAGATTGGGGACAGGACCTTTGAAGCAATAAAAATGGGGATGCTGCTGTCACTCAGAATAACCAATAGAACTAAAGCAAAGAATCTGGGAACCACCCAACCCAGTTCTCAAAGCAATGAGACACAAGGGGATCGGCTTCTCAGAGGCACACACTTATTTCCACTGCCTCCTGTCTAAGCTGAGAAGGAAGCATGTCTGAGCACATGGACCTGGGTGCTCTGGTACCTCCTTCAGAAGTCCTGATCCCTATAGAAGGCGCAGTCGCTGCCAATGTCCCACTCCATCCTCTGGAAGAAGTAGACCATGCCGCTTTCAAGCAGTAAGCCACTCAGGACAGCCAACAAGGACAGCATGCGGTTAATGTTTAGCGTCACTGCAAAAGAAAAGGCAGTCATGTGCTCTTAAGAACTTAATTGAGGCATGATGATGTACATTTGCAATTCTGGCTGTTAGGGAGGCTGAGGCAGAAGAATCACATTTTTGAGCTGAGCCTGGGCAATTTGGTCCATTTCCATAAACAAAACAAAAAAATGGTCAGCTCAGTGAGAGGAGCACTTTCCTAGCATGTGTGAGGCCTTTAATTCAATCCCTAGGTACCATTAAAACAAACAAACAAACAAACGAACGAACAAAAAAACAAAATAGGGCTGGGGATGTAGTCCAGTGGCACTTGCCTAGCATGTTCAAGGCCCTGGGTTCAATTCCCAGTACTGTCTCAAAAAATAAAATGAATCAAAATAAAAAACAAAACAAAAACAACAACAACAACAACAATAAAAAAATGATAGTGCCATGTAAGCTGTGTGTGAACTGTCTTGTAAAGCTGTTTTTGGAACGCTGCACTTATCTTAGTATTAATCTATATGTGTCCTGCTCCACACCTCCACCTGCAGACCTCTGAGAGAACCAACACTTTTGTGTGTGACATGAGCTCAGTTTCTCCTGGAAGCAAGAAGCGAGGTCTTGTCAACATCAAGGGGAGGCTGGGCATGGTAGTGCATGCCTGTAAATCGCAGCACTTGGGAAGCTGAGGCTGGAGGATCACCATGAGTTGGAGGCCAGCCTGGGCTACGTAGCAAGACCCTGTCTCAAAAAACAAAATAAAACAACCAAAAAACAAAGGAAAAATAAAAGGTGGATTCTAAGGTTACAGATAGAATAACAGTGTCACAGTTTGCAAGATGACAAGACTATGATAAGAAGTATCAGGTAATAGGTTCATTCAAAATAGTACTTTTCATAGCACACAGGAAAAGGGAGACATTTCCTGGCAGAGCACGTACTGTCCTGGTGTGGGAGGTGGCACCCGGCACCCTCTCATGCTCTGGCAACTGCCCAGTCTGGAACTCTAGACAATCTACCTGCCCTCATGGTCCACAAGTTAATTCTTGAAGTAAAGATAACAATGGCTGCATTTTTAACCTCACAGGACAGAGAGAAGGCAGACAAAAACATGCTGAAAGATGTCAGCTATGTGGTTAAATTTAACGAACACTAGGGCCTGCCACCGATAGGCACCACAGACACGCTGGGCATAGCATCTGCCACACGTTAGGTACCACAGATGTGCCCAGGTACTGTGCCTGCCCTGTCAGGTACTACAGACATGCAGGGTACTCTGCCTGACCTGTTAGGCAGCTGGTATGCCAGGGACTGTCATTACTCTATGAAGAGCTTCAGTGTTCAGCAGGTCACATGAAACTTTCCCAGAACCATGGCTGAAGGCTTCTGTGAAGGTTAAGGCAGTTAAGACAGAATGAAGACAGACCCCTACCTCTGATTGCTTGGAAGTTTGAGGTCAGGACAAACATTTTGATAAGCCTGAGGCATAGAGGTGTGTAGTCATGCTCCCAGATGACAGCTGGGATCAGGAGGAGCTTCCCATAGCTTGATAACAATAATGCCTTCAGTAGCAAGACGAAGTTGGGCCTTGTTTTTACTGTTGTGTGTCGTTCTACCCACAGAAAAGTAAAAATGCCAATTAAAAAGGCACTTTGTTCTAGGGAGGAATGAAAAATAAAAATTTGTTGGTCTCCATGCAAACCATTATTTCCGTCTAAAAACAAACCTTAATTACAAAATATGACTTAGCTGATTTCATAGGAAATGCTTTAGCTGTATCAATTTTTTTGGGGGGTTCAAGGGATTGAACTGGGGACCTTGTGGCTTATAAGGTAGGAGGTGGCACTACTAAGCTAAATCCTTGGCCCCAGCCTTTTTTTAAAATCAAACCCAGCCTTTGTGTAAAATCCTGCTGCTATGATTTAAGAAACATTTCAACAATTCTTTCATAAAAATTTTCATCACCCACTGAAGAAAAAGCAATGCCATCAGAACTGTAATCACTGCCTCTCTGAAGTACGTGATTCCCAAGAAAGAATAAAGCAGGAAGGTGGAAGCTACCAACTCTGGATGATGGGGCCGCCCTAGGAATGGTGTTGCCCATACTGGTACTTTTCGCTGTGGATTCTTGCACTACTTTCTGCGTGCTTATTATATATAAAATATTGACTATTGCTATTTAAATTAAAAGGTGTCTCTTACAGTGAGTTCAAGGCCAGCCTGAACTACATAGTAAGACCCTGTCTCAAAAAACAAAACAAAATATGTGTGTGCACATATATGTGTGTGTGTATAATATACACATATATGGGTGTGTAGGGGAAGACAAAGCAACTTTTCTTTAGAAACTTTAAGAGGCTTTGCTTTAAAGCTTAATTATGCTCCTAGGATAGGAGATATGCTCAAGGTGTATTTATTTTGTTTTTGTTTTTTTCCGGTACTGGGGATCAAACACAGGACCTTCTTCTTGCGAGGCAGGTACAGTGCAACTGAGCTAAATCCCCAGACCTTCAAAGTGCATTCAATATTACTGTAAGATGTGAATGTTTGTAGTCTTCTGCATATTTCAAATATTATTTGACAATAAAAATTCACATTAAGTGTCTCAGTAAAGTCTAAATTATGTCCAAAATTACCAGTAAGAGCTAGGAACAGTGGTACATGCCCATAATACCAGCTACTGGGGAGGCTAAGGCAGGAAGATTATGAAGTTTGAAGCTAGCCACGTAGCCAGACCATCTTAACAACAATAAACAATTACTTATGGAATGGACATCACAGTAATTAAACTGTCATAAATTGTAACAAAGTCCCAACTGTAAAACCCAGAGGCAGAGATTTTTGTGTGTATTTTTCATAGATATACCTCTCCAGTGCCTGAAGTGACTGGTACATAAATATTTAGTAAGTATTTCTTAAGTATATGAATGAGAACAAGTAGTGAATGGACAACTGGAACCTGATAGTGACTTGATCAGGTCAGAATGCATGCATGTACATATGTAATCATTAAATCAACCCCAAAAAACGTTTACTGAGCACCTATTATAGACCAAGCACTTTACTAAGGGTTTGAGCTGTATCAGTGACCAACACAGAGAGCCTCACCCTCATTCTATTTAGTGGAGAAGGCAGATCATAAAAAACAGCTAATAGCACCTCCTGTGGTATGTGAGATGATAAGCACCTTAAAACAAGGTGGTGGTAGTCGGAGGTCAGAGCAGGATTCACTGAGGCAAAATTTCAGACCTGAGGGACATCAGGGAGAAGACAAGTGGACATTAGGGGCAGGTACCCTGGCAGACAAAGCAGCCAGCTCAAAGGCCCAAGGGTAAAGGCTCAACTAGTATGTCTGAAACAAGTTCCCTGGAGTGGCTGGGTTAGGGTGGGCATGAGAGATGGTGGCAGTAACTGAAACAAGAGATGTCCCTGAAGAGGCAGAGCATGGAGAGCCTCTGTGCTAGTACAGGGACTTCAGCTTTACTCTGAGTGAAATGGGAGCTGTGTCCTAGCAGCAGCTGATTAGAAAGGGGCTTCTCAATGTGAAGAATAGACTAGCGTCAAGTGGGCTAGAAACAAAGTGACTGCTGTTCTAGCTTGCAGTAGGTCCCAGCCATGCGGATGGTAGGAGTGGCAGTGCAGTGCAAGAGTACTTCCTGACAACTCGAGTGTGCACCATCAGGAATGACTCCAAGGCTTCTTGGTCTAAGCAACTCAAACAATGGAGTTAAGTGCAACTGGGGTGGGGAAGGCTATGGGCAGAGGCAGCAGGAGAAGCTGGGTTCTGGAGATGAATTATTGGCTGTCCATATGGAGCTGCTGAGGAGGCAGATGGACACAGGGTCTCGAGGTCAGGAGAAAGGTCTGGATTAGGGATGGATATCTGGAGTTCTGAGCAGATGGATGAGGTGACTGAAGGAGGCTGGCAGACAGGATAAAAGAGAATGTGTGATGTAGAAATACGACACTGGCATGGACTATAGATTCAGTTATTATAAAATGATTCATTGTAGTCAAAGAAGCAGTCCAGTTGGGTAATCAGAACTTAAAACTCACCTCACAGGTAGAAGGTTAATGGAAAAACTGATAATTTAGTTGTGAGCCCTCTATTAACTATTCCCCTTTGTCCATGATTAAGAGCATGTATCTTAGTTTTAATCAAATTGTTAAATTCTATTTAAGAGTGGAAAGCAAGTATCTCCTTACCTAGAGAAGCAATTGCAAACATTCTGTAAAAATCCCACTCCTTGGCATATCTAATCAAGTCGTCTGGAGCAGTGTTTTGATTTGAGTCCTGAAGCTGCCACCACCTCAGGTATGCTTCGCAAAGCAAACAAAAAATGCAGAGTTTTCCATGGATCTGATAGTCAAAAGACATTGCCACTCAGTCAGGGCAAGAAGCACTTGATTGTACTTAGTATAAACAGGCACAGCTGTAGGTAAGTATAGTTCTGAGGAACATCTCAGCTTGCAAGATTTAACCCCCCACAGTCCAATGAGGTGATTCTAAATGTGTAGTGAAGTCTTGACAATCAATGTTTTGGTAATTTAGTGGTTTGGGGTTTTTTTTTTTTTCAAGAAAAGGTCTCAGTATGTAGCCTAGGCTGGCCTTGAGCTCACAGTGATTCTCCTGTGTTAGCCTCCGAGTGCTGAGATTACAGGCATGCACCACCATGGCTGGCTAATGCTCTGGTAATTTAAAAAATGCCATTATTTAACTTGAGGAACAGCCCAAATTTAGGATTGCATATAACCACACAGAACACCAGTAAATTTAGTTTCTGATACATAATAAACAATTTATTGTAAGTATATTTCATGCCATATTTGAGACATACTAAAAGTTTTCCCTGTTTATTTGATTTTCAAATTTGATGTCCTGTATTTTATCTATCAATCCTACCCAAACTGCTAGAGTTTACAATTTAATACACTAAATATGTATTTTTTTAAAATTCAACTTTTAAAGGACTTTTCTGACTAAATTCAATGTTATTTATCTCATAAATTCCCTAACAGTAGAATGTAGACTACAATAAGTCAATTTAATATTTTTCCATTAATGTCTGTTACTTCTTTTAGGTATAATTTTCTCCCTACCCAGCTATGTTTAATTTTGTTCTATTCGGAATCAATGAGTCTGTTTCAATAGCTAACCTACTAAAGGCAATCCACACTATAGCTGTCAGCTTCCTAACAACTTTTAAATTTACACCTCAGGAGGCTAAGGTAGGAAGATCACTGTGAGTTTGACACCAGCCTTAGCTCTACTGGCCTTAGCTACACTGTGAGTTAAAGACCAGTCTGAACTATGTAGCAAGACCCTGTCTCAAAAAACAAAGAAAATAAAACAAAACAAACCACACACCAAAAATTTCACACTTGCTATTTCTAGAAAGTTCCAAATATGCTGAGAAAAAAGACTCACCTTCCAATTAGAATTTTTCTTTTTCTTTTTTGACATAGGGTCTGGCTATGTAGTAATAGGCTGGCCTTAAATTCACAGCTATCCTTCTGCCTCAGCCTCCCAAGTACTGGGATTAACGGTGTGAGCCACCACCCCTGGCTAGAAGTTTTCTTTTTATATTTTTTCATTCTGTTCAAAATTGTTACCCTTATAAAATGTACAAGCACTATTAAGTAACATTAAACATTTTTAAAATTACCACAACTTACGTTTATTTTAGTATTGAAAAGAATATGCCTGTAGACCTGAGCTTTACACAGAATAGCATTAATCAAGATAATAACAGGATCATACTCAATATATTTGTCCACAAGTTTCTGGCAGGATTTCTGAAATAACACAAGATAACATTAGAACAAGCAAATTAGTACAGTCTGAAACCTCAGACTTCGAAATAACACTACTTGTGCAGCACACAAGGCCATATCAGCACTTCAGTAAACTTCCCCTCAGATATGTGTGATAAGTGGTTTCACAAGTGATTTGATGTGTCTAGGCTAAAAATATTATATCTTACCTCATATTTGGGAAGCTAAAAAGATTATTGACTTAAAGACTAATTCCAAGCAGCAAAGTATCACAGAAGAGTCTACTTTTAAATTGTGGGAATTGTTATGAATGAATCTATAATGTACTTTTTTAACTGATAACCTGTTACCTATTGGTTATACGGCTCCAACACTATGGTTCCTAAAACAGGATTTGGAAAGGTGTTCGGCAAAGTCTCCTTTTCCCTGAGCTTTCGAGAGCTTTTAAAATTTACATCTCAGGAGGCTAAGGCAGGCAGGTAAGGAACAGGGTACAGTTCTAACAATCCTGAGGTGGCAGAACTCAGCGAAACTTGGGTTTTCCTCTAATTATACCAATGATACAGAGGGAAAATGCTACGGTAGAGATAGTGCAGTGAAAAGAACTGGGCAGTGCAGGATGCATGTCACCAAAATCCAGGCTCTCTCAGGTCACTATTTAACAGTTCAAGATCTCTGGAAGTGTGATTATAATGTCATCAAATCTCAACACCTTTAGGACATGGACAAAGGAAGCAACATTAGTTACAAAACCGCCTTAATGCTGCAATTCAATGCAAAAAAAAAGCCCCCCCTCAAACTAATGGCTATAATTGCAACCAAAATTTTTTAAACTTTGGCAGGATAAATTAGAAATAGAAGTGAGGATACAAAAATGCTAGGATGGACTTAAAGTTACATCAAAGCACTAGAAGAAAAGTGAACTGCACTGAAGAATATTAACCCTCCACTTCAGCGTAATGAAATACTGGATTCCCTTCCAAGGTAAGTTTCTCCACTTCATTCATGTCCTTCTAATAAATAGGTATGCTTTTTCAGGCATCATGTGAACCAGTAAAGGCAGATGTGCTACTTCCTCAAACTCAAATCTACCTAACAAAACAGAAGCATAAGGAATTCGTGTTTTTGCAACTCTTTAACTGAGCAAAGAGTGAGCTGGCACCTAAACCAGAATCAAAAACTACAGGATTGAGACAGGATATTTTGTACATTTTGTGCCACTTAAATGGAGTACACTTCCTCTCTTCCTGCATATGAGATCTGAAGTCCAGAGATGCTAATTCATTTTTAAATGAAACTGCTAACAGTTCCGGGATCCCCTCTCTGTTCTTCAATAAAGTTCTCTAAATTTCATTTTCAGACAGTACCACAAGCGTAAGACTCAGGGTTTGGACAATTCTTAGAAGAAGACAGACAGAAACCAGGACTAATAGGAGAGCAGCTCCTGCTTCTTTTGCATTCACTTGTTTGGCAGATTCTTGTGGAGTGGTGCTATGTTGAAAACAAGAATTCTCTCTTCTTAGCCTCTTATGAATCTTCCAAGATACTAGATAATCACCTAGAGCCACTAGTCTAACTTCAAGGACCTTACAGTTCAGAAGGCCAAGCTACCAGGAAGTCTGACAAGTAATATAATGGGATAACTCTGGCTGACACGAAACCAAAGAAAGAGGCAGCTCCTATACCGTATGACTGGGCTGTAGGCACTGCCCATTTCCCCTGCAGAACCAACAGGAAATTCATCCAAGTCTGCTACCTCCTTCTCATCCATATAGATCTCATTTTCCCCTGTTCTCCTTGTATTTGCTTTTCTTGTAAGTACTCCTCTCCACTTTATTTCCTCCTGTGCTCACTTGAAATGGAAGCAGGAAAACTACACAGACACACACACAACACACACAGGAGACAATGCAGTAGAGTATCTCACTGGGAGCTATATTTAAAGAACTGTATTACTTTTAGTAAATATATTTTCTTATTTTGGCAAAAGCATTCCATTCTTTATCATCTACTACCAAATAGACAAAGGTCCTGAAAAAACTTTTTGTCTAAGAAATTAATACAGCACAAGGGCCTCCAATAGCACCACTTCAGTCTTCACTTAGCTGTGACACGCTTTGTCCTAACATTCTTCATCTCACTGAACCATCCCTTTTAAAATATGAACTGGCCATATCAATTCTTCATGAATATCCCTGCTGCTTTCTTCTGTATCATCATCACAAGGACTACTTCTTTCTCTACTTATCCTCAAATTATTTAATTTTAACTCTACAACAGGCAAATACTGTATCTTAAAATGGAACCCTCTGGACTTTTAAGCTTCTCAAGGTCTTATTCGTTTCTGCATCCAGCATCCAAGAGGCGGGAGCTAAATATCTTAACAGTGAGTGAAACAAAAAATAATTTTTAAGGAGTCTTGTTTTGTTCTATAATGAATTTATTAGATTATCTGTGCGCCTGGAATAGGGAAGAGTACTATGTCCATATGTGAAAGCTGAAAGGGAAGGCACATTTACCTTGGATGGGGACTTTAAATGGAACGGCTGAAATTTGGCATGCCACTAACTTTGTGTCCTCACTGCCTGGCCCGGCCCCCACACTCCCTAGCCCTCTGCGCCCGGCGGCCACAGGTTTCCTCGCATCCGGGTTAGCCCGAGCCCAGCACCAGCCTACAGCACATCAGGCGGTGTCACTCCCCTCACCAGTCCGAGTACTCACGCAGACGGTGAGCTTCAGCACGCCGTGGTTGTAGTCTCGATATAGCTCGCTGGCCCCCTGGTTACATTCGATACACCTGTACGGACAGGGGGTCAGGACGGCCTCGGCCATCTCCTCTGCGTCCTTCCAGTGCCTCTATTCTCCGCGTCCAACAGTTTCCCGGGTCACTACGCAAGCCGCTTGTGGTCACGGGCGGAAGTTGTCAGGTCGGGACCGGAAGGGTTCTCGCGCCGGACCTGCTGGGACTGGTAGTCTGGACGCGAGGCGCGGGCCCTGGGCTGGTGTGGCCAGGACTACGACTCCCGGCAGGCGCTGCTCCCCTCTTCCGCTCCCACCTGCTTGCCACGGGCCGAGCGCGGCCACGCGTGCGCCGTGCTCGAAGATGGCACCTGCCGGCCTTGGGCGCGGATGCTGGGGTGGCGGGGCTATGCGGGCGCTGCCGCCGATTCTGCTGCTGGGGGCTTTGGCCTGCGCACATGCCACAGAGCACTACTCGCCGCTGTCCCTGCTCAAGCAGGAGCTACAGCATCGGCAGCAGCAGGAGGCCCCGGTGGGCGGCGGCTGCCCGCAGTCAGGGGACTGGGCGGACCAGTACCCGGCAGAGTGCGGTGAGTGGCCTGGCAGCCACGGGGATAGGGGATGCCCCGGGTGTAGGCCTGGCGTCCAACTGCTTCCACGAGGTTGCGTCCCGGAAAGAGGAGGAGGGAGAGCCTGCGCATCTTCGGTTTGGGACTACCTCTTGCCCGCGGCTTGTCCCCAGGCCTACCCGCTCGCGGGCCCGGCAGCTGCGCGGTGCCTTCGCTGGGGTCGGGCGCTGTTAGCCTGTTTAGTAAGTCGTGGCAGACGCCTTTGGGCAAAACACGCACTTTTTTTCTTTTGAGTTTTGCAGTGTTTTTGTTGTTGTTGTTGTTGTTGTTGTTTTTGTTTTTCCCTTCAGTCAGCTTTCCTTTCCCCATTGTGGACTCCTTAAGACTTGCTTTGGAAAGGCTGAAGATCCTTCACTGTGGAAGCTGGGTGGTCACTGTTAAGACCCACTGCGGAGCTCTTCTGCACCGTACAGCTGCGGAGACAAGCCCTATTTTTTTTTCTCTCTCTCATTGAGTTTATTGGTACATTTTAGGTGTACAGTACAGTTACATTCATCATTGGGATCTTGTACCTTTATATGACAAGTCTTGGTTCTCATTTTCCCTCTTGTCTCTGCCGTCCCTTCACCCCCTTCTACCCTCCCCATTTACAAATACTTTATTTCCATTTTTTCATTTTCTCATATTTTTTCTTTTCCCTTATTATCTTTCCCTTATCCTTCCCACTTTCCCTACACCTTTAGCCCTTTTCTTCCTATTTTTAATTGAGATGAGATGTCTAGATTAGCACAATCTGATTTCCTTTTGACACAGTCGTCATTTCGGCAGGAAGTCTCATTTGCAGAGGAATGACTTCTTTATTTTGTAGTAGGCCTTGGCTGATAACATAAATACTGTAGCCAGCATTACAGACTGAAGAAGAGTGGCCGTTACCCACGTTACTTTCTGTAGTGCCGTGTGAATGAATTACTTGTTGGCAAGATTGGTCTCTGTGAATTGGGGACACTCTTTGCCCAATTTACCCTCACAAGAATGCTGTGACAGGAAGGAGAAATAGCTGACGGGTGCTATCTGTATGCCGGTTACTCTTGTAAGTATGCTTGGTCTTTTTGTCTTGTGTACTAGTCTATGAGAAAGGCAGTACTTCCTCATTTTGAATGGCAGCTCTTTATCTCAGTTGAGGAAACAGGCCCAATGAAAGTACCACCTTCCTGGGGTGTAAGGTGTAGAAGGAGGAACGCAGTAATTCCTCTGCAGTTTTTGTTTTATCCACCCAGTGGCTGTAGTAGGAAAGCACACCTGTGCTGTTCACCTGCTTAGCCTTTGTACTGAGCAAATCTTCCCTTCCTCTCCTCCTCTGTCCCCCCTCACTTTCACCTTCTTACCTCCCCTTCCCCTCTCCTTCCCCTCCTATAGTCATTGATGGTCACTGGCTAGAGGATATTCAGGTTCTGGACAGGAGAAAGTCAACTGGTATCCTTTATGCAGGTGGGTTGTTTCATTCTGTGGCATCAAGTTTGTGTGCCAGTATTGAATCCTGCTTGAACTAACTGACTTGTGTCAAGATTTCTCCCAGGTAATGATAAATGCAGTTTCTTATAGGCTGTTGGAGGAACCCTGTCCACTGCTGCATTCCTTGACACATGAAGAACATTGTGTAGTGTTCCCGGCTTCAGAGATGGAAGCTATGAGGCTTTCATAATATATCTAGATATTTTAATTTCTGTATCTGCCCCATGCAGAGCTTTTTGCTGAGCTGGTGGAAGTGAGTAGCGAGAGTCTTCTCAGTGGGTCTTCACACAGTCTTCCTTGGGCTGATGTGCATGTCCAGTACCTGCCAACAGGTCCTCAAGAGTGCAGCTGCCCTCAGCCTGCCAGTCATTCCCAGAGCCAACACAATGCTACTTGGGGCTCCAGCTATTTCCTTCAGCATTACTGGGTGACATATGTGATAAAAGCTATCTCTGTTGTTGCAGAAGCTCCTGAAAAGCCTCTCGTTTCTCCCTCTACCCTGACATTTGTATAGAAGCTTGGCTTCATGAAGCTTGCTCCATTACTGGGATGTGAACAAATTTAGGATTTATAACTAAGTTTGTCCTACCTGCGGGGCTGGGCAGGGGGCTGGGAAGTTTCATTCTATCTCCAGAGCCCCTGTATGATTGACACAGTGGTCTAGATAAGTGCCTGGATCTAGAACTGATCAGTGCTTCAGAATCACACAGACCTGACTTTACGAACTGTTGATTTTGCCATTGTCACTTGGCTTGCCATTGTCACCTGTTTGTGTCAAGATAGCCTGTGCGCTGAGGGCAAACAGTGTATGACTTTCAGACTGCTTCTTGCATCTTTCGGGTACAAATGGATGAGTTGATACCTGTGTGGATCTAAGTCTGCACACCTTCTGATAAATGGAATATATATTATGACAGAACTCCCCATGACTTTAGGTGCAAAGACAGGTGCCAGTGGGAGCCATTAATCCATAGGTATCATAGGGAAAAGGCTAGAAGGAGCGGGGTACTACAGCACCATCAAGGGGAAACTTGGTCCCAGGGAACAGACTGCCTAATCCTAAGATCCACTGCTGAGGTGACAAACATGCCATGTGTCTCAGCTTGAGTTTTATATATTCCTTGGCCCATTCATCTTGAATTAAATGTATCCTTATTTTTTAATGAATAATGTAAGGAGTTTATAGTTCAAATATATGCAATTTTAGTAATTGTTTAAAAATAATTGTGTTTCATCCTCCTCTGAATGTGTGCTAATAATCAAAAGACTGAGTTTATGTGATTTTTTTTTTTTTAAACTGGCAGGCTTTTGGCTGCTCCTTGGTGACAGTCTAGTACTTGATACCTTTAGGGTAATTTTCAAATAGCTGCTTACATCCCAGTGATGACTTTAGCTTAATCTATGTTGAATGCCTCAATCATTTTGAATGATTAATTTACAGCCTTAAGTTACTTTCTTTAGTTTGTTGAAATGGACAATTCCAGAGTTGAGATTATTTTCTTTTCTTACAAAAATTTTTATGGAAAGAGATCATTTAGTATCTAATTTTTGCCAGAAAAGTAAGTAAAAGCGAGGCATAGACTGTTGCTGTGAATGGTGTGTCTTACTTAGTGAGGAATGGGTCATTTAAATACAGGAAGTTGATCTTGCTCACAACACACAGAAGCTGCTATGCTTAAAGGCAGTGGGTCAGAAATAGAAGGAAACTTGTGTAGTGAGAACTGTTTCCTTTTTGCTTCTTGGAGGAAGTTAACCAAGTTTTGTGTTCTGTGGAAACACTGTGATAGGTCTTTCTTCTAGAGTATGTGCACTGTCCTTCCTTGGCCTGGTTTTCTGTGTATGATACTGCCTGGTTTTGTGGCAGGTCTTTCTAGAGCTTTTTTTTTTTTTTTTTTTTTTTAATGGGAATCAAAATCAGAACCTTGCACTTGTGAGGCAGGCATAGTGCCACTGAGATAAATCCCCAGCCCTCTAGAGCTCCTCTTAAGGGCTGACAGGTGATAGTTCCAAGGTAAGAGACTGGGGTCTGAGGGATGAGAGCTGTCCACGTGGTATGACCTGGATTTTTCTCCTGGAGACTGAACAGCATCTTTCAGAAACTGTCCTGGTTCAGTTAGAAGTAGCATTTGAAGTGCAAGCCCTGTAAGAAGATGGCCTGTGATATTCACCTGTCAGAAATCTGTTGTCACTAAGAATGATGCTACCTTTGAGAAAGCTGAGGCACCACCAGGCATGTGAGATGGGTTGAATTTTATTTTATTTTATTTTTTTTAAGACAGAGTTTCACTATGTAGGTCAGGCTGGCCTTAAACTCATATATAATCCAGGCTGGCCTTGAACTCAGGGCAATGCTCCTGCCTCAGCCTCCTGAGTTCTAGGATTATAGGCATGCACTGTACCTGGCCAGAATTTCTTGAAGAGGCAGGATTTTAGTACTGTTTGGATGATGTTTTCTAGCATTTTCCTTCTACTTTATTTTGCTTAAAATATGACACAGAAAAATGTATGTCACAGGAGGAGTATAGATCAGTGAATTTTCATAAGTGGAACGAAGCAATAGCTATCTGTTTTTGAGCTTGTTAAGGAAGTTTGGCTCCATACTGATCCTGGTCTCATTTGGACAACATTTTATCTGGTTATTTCTGAACCAAGGTCCAGCACAGGGCAGAGGACTCCCACTACACACATAACACCATTCCTTCCTGGATATTTAGGAGGCCTCCATCCAGGGATCTGTTAACTTCTGCCCAGTGCCTACTTCACAAACAAAGGTGAGGTGACTTCCCTTGCTGCTTTTCCCTGTCTATCTAAGATGATCTAAGAGACTCTGTTGTCACTAATCACACCTGTCACTGCCTAGAGGTGCCACAGCATTCCCAGTTGAGTTCCCATCTGACACCATGAGTGGGTTTATGGGAAAGTTTGTAGCTCTTAAGAGTAAGTACTATTTTGAGCATGTACTGCATCTCCTGTCTTCTTTATACTCTGAGTGCCTGGCTCACTTTGTCCTCTAGCCCCTGGCTTGGCAACATGTCATTGCCTGTATGCCTGTCTTCACTTTGACTCTTTACATATTTTTCTACTTGTGTATAGGTTAATATAGCTTTGATTAAGTTACATTAAAGTTAT